TGTCTTTTTCTCTTCCACAATAATAATAATAATAATAATAATAATAATAATGTAAAAGAGAAAAGGACATATGGATACGAGTTAAGAGTAACTCTCCATCACTGTAACATGATACTATATACAGTCAGAAAGTGCAATAACTAGGCACAAAACTGACAGAGTACTGAGACATTCGACGTCCTGACACCTAACTTCAACACATCTCCGTAGCGCTAACCGACAGCCTTCCAACTTGGAAGGTTCAAGGTTATGGAAAGACCAAAGAGGGGAAGGCAAGCGCAACGAAAACGAGCAAAAGCTACAGTCCCAACGGAACAAAGAATGTCGATTGTTACTGGACGATGACGAGACCAGTACGATATTTGACAAAGCGGTCTAACTACAATTCGAAGCAGCAAAGCAGCACACCACCCAACTTGGGTGGGTCATAAATATCAAAGATAAGTAAAGAAAGGGAAGCTTTGCGAAAACGAATTGTACAAGCCGAAAGCCAAAATCCTACAGTACTCCTCATGCATGACATTGTGATGGACTAGTTGACTACAAAACAAGTTGTTTCACACGACGTACGTTTCGCCGTATGGTTCGTGACGGCTCATCAGGTGTGCAATTTGAAACTCGGATGTTGAGCCATAAATAAATGTAAAAGAGAAAAGGACATATGGATACGAGTTAAGAGTAACTCTCCATCACTGTAACATGATACTATATACAGTCAGAAAGTGCAATAACTAGGCACAAAACTGACAGAGTACTGAGACATTCGACGTCCTGACACCTAACTTCAACACATCTCCGTAGCGCTAACCGACAGCCTTCCAACTTGGAAGGTTCAAGGTTATGGAAAGACCAAAGAGGGGAAGGCAAGCGCAACGAAAACGAGCAAAAGCTACAGTCCCAACGGAACAAAGAATGTCGATTGTTACTGGACGATGACGAGACCAGTACGATATTTGACAAAGCGGTCTAACTACAATTCGAAGCAGCAAAGCAGCACACCACCCAACTTGGGTGGGTCATAAATATCAAAGATAAGTAAAGAAAGGGAAGCTTTGCGAAAACGAATTGTACAAGCCGAAAGCCAAAATCCTACAGTACTCCTCATGCATGACATTGTGATGGACTAGTTGACTACAAAACAAGTTGTTTCACACGACGTACGTTTCGCCGTATGGTTCGTGACGGCTCATCAGGTGTGCAATTTGAAACTCGGATGTTGAGCCATAAATAAATGTAAAAGAGAAAAGGACATATGGATACGAGTTAAGAGTAACTCTCCATCACTGTAACATGATACTATATACAGTCAGAAAGTGCAATAACTAGGCACAAAACTGACAGAGTACTGAGACATTCGACGTCCTGACACCTAACTTCAACACATCTCCGTAGCGCTAACCGACAGCCTTCCAACTTGGAAGGTTCAAGGTTATGGAAAGACCAAAGAGGGGAAGGCAAGCGCAACGAAAACGAGCAAAAGCTACAGTCCCAACGGAACAAAGAATGTCGATTGTTACTGGACGATGACGAGACCAGTACGATATTTGACAAAGCGGTCTAACTACAATTCGAAGCAGCAAAGCAGCACACCACCCAACTTGGGTGGGTCATAAATATCAAAGATAAGTAAAGAAAGGGAAGCTTTGCGAAAACGAATTGTACAAGCCGAAAGCCAAAATCCTACAGTACTCCTCATGCATGACATTGTGATGGACTAGTTGACTACAAAACAAGTTGTTTCACACGACGTACGTTTCGCCGTATGGTTCGTGACGGCTCATCAGGTGTGCAATTTGAAACTCGGATGTTGAGCCATAAATAAATGTAAAAGAGAAAAGGACATATGGATACGAGTTAAGAGTAACTCTCCATCACTGTAACATGATACTATATACAGTCAGAAAGTGCAATAACTAGGCACAAAACTGACAGAGTACTGAGACATTCGACGTCCTGACACCTAACTTCAACACATCTCCGTAGCGCTAACCGACAGCCTTCCAACTTGGAAGGTTCAAGGTTATGGAAAGACCAAAGAGGGGAAGGCAAGCGCAACGAAAACGAGCAAAAGCTACAGTCCCAACGGAACAAAGAATGTCGATTGTTACTGGACGATGACGAGACCAGTACGATATTTGACAAAGCGGTCTAACTACAATTCGAAGCAGCAAAGCAGCACACCACCCAACTTGGGTGGGTCATAAATATCAAAGATAAGTAAAGAAAGGGAAGCTTTGCGAAAACGAATTGTACAAGCCGAAAGCCAAAATCCTACAGTACTCCTCATGCATGACATTGTGATGGACTAGTTGACTACAAAACAAGTTGTTTCACACGACGTACGTTTCGCCGTATGGTTCGTGACGGCTCATCAGGTGTGCAATTTGAAACTCGGATGTTGAGCCATAAATAAATGTAAAAGAGAAAAGGACATATGGATACGAGTTAAGAGTAACTCTCCATCACTGTAACATGATACTATATACAGTCAGAAAGTGCAATAACTAGGCACAAAACTGACAGAGTACTGAGACATTCGACGTCCTGACACCTAACTTCAACACATCTCCGTAGCGCTAACCGACAGCCTTCCAACTTGGAAGGTTCAAGGTTATGGAAAGACCAAAGAGGGGAAGGCAAGCGCAACGAAAACGAGCAAAAGCTACAGTCCCAACGGAACAAAGAATGTCGATTGTTACTGGACGATGACGAGACCAGTACGATATTTGACAAAGCGGTCTAACTACAATTCGAAGCAGCAAAGCAGCACACCACCCAACTTGGGTGGGTCATAAATATCAAAGATAAGTAAAGAAAGGGAAGCTTTGCGAAAACGAATTGTACAAGCCGAAAGCCAAAATCCTACAGTACTCCTCATGCATGACATTGTGATGGACTAGTTGACTACAAAACAAGTTGTTTCACACGACGTACGTTTCGCCGTATGGTTCGTGACGGCTCATCAGGTGTGCAATTTGAAACTCGGATGTTGAGCCATAAATAAATGTAAAAGAGAAAAGGAAATATAGATACGAGTTAAGAGTTACTCTCCATCACTGTAACATGATACTATATACAGTCAGAAAGTGCAATAACTAGGCACAAAACTGACAGAGTACTGAGACATTCGACGTCCTGACACCTAACTTCAACACATCTCCGTAGCGCTAACCGACAGCCTTCCAACTTGGAAGGTTCAAGGTTATGGAAAGACCAAAGAGGGGAAGGCAAGCGCAACGAAAACGAGCAAAAGCTACAGTCCCAACGGAACAAAGAATGTCGATTGTTACTGGACGATGACGAGACCAGTACGATATTTGACAAAGCGGTCTAACTACAATTCGAAGCAGCAAAGCAGCACACCACCCAACTTGGGTGGGTCATAAATATCAAAGATAAGTAAAGAAAGGGAAGCTTTGCGAAAACGAATTGTACAAGCCGAAAGCCAAAATCCTACAGTACTCCTCATGCATGACATTGTG